GGCATCAGCCGTCCGGAACTCACCTGCCGTCGCAACCGCGCCGCCTGTCAGTCAAGCGCGCCCACCGCGACGCCGCGCAGAGTCTTGTGGCTCTGCCTGTCGTGCCCCGCCTCCCTACCGTCAGCTGTCCAATCGAGAGAGCCTATGCCAAGGACGGGGCGGGGTCACATGGCGCTGCCTACTAGGGGGCGGGACCGTGCGTGCTGGGGGCGTGGCCGTGCGAGTACTGAGTGCCCATGCATGCTGGGAGTAGGGGGAGTGGCCGTGCTGCTGGGGCGTGGCCACGTGGTTCGAAGACTGTCTTGCTGGTGGAGGGCACAGTCTCGGCGCTGGGGCGTGGCCACGCGGCTGTACCTGCCCTTGCTTTTTGGAGTTGGGAGCTGGTGGCTATGCTGCTGGGGCGCGGCCTGGACACCCGGAGGCGGGTCTGCATGCAGCCGGCCCTCTGACGACACTTCTGCGCGCCGGAAGAGAAAGAGGTTCCCGGCACTACGCGGCAGGTAACGCCGCTCCTAAGATCTGGTGCCGCTATGCGGATCACTGGGAAGACTTTCCGCCGGCGGCGGGCTGACTCGGAGTCGGAGGAAGATGAGCAGGAATCAGAGGAGGTTCGGTACGTGTTTGGCATGACCTCCACGGCCCAGGAAGAGGGAAACAGCCTTGGGACTGGCTAACCAGGGCTGACACCACTGACCGGGAGCCAGGGTTGTTGTCTTTCAGAGGCTCCTGGTGATAAGGCCACATTTCCCCGGTCCCGAAGCTCGGAAAGGTGCTCCGGGGTCGCATGGGTCTGACTGCCGGTGATCCACAGTGCCAGGGACTCGGCCGAGAGACACGGATGTCCCCGGAACTGAGTTAAGCTTTGAGTTCCGCAGAGGATCTCTCAGCCTGTGCATTGCTTTTTATTCATTTCCCCCCAGGTTAAAACTTGAAGAAACCCGAGAGGTGCAGAACTTAAGGAAGAGGCCAAACGGGGTGAGGTGGGTACCATGGGGGTGGGGGTGGCGTCATTTATTGATGACACAGATACTTCCAGCTAGGGTCTCAGTTACAAATATCTCCTTCGACATAGTTCTTTCTCTAGACATACACCTTGCACTGGTCGAAGAGGGGACCAGTTTTTTTTCAAATGTGTAACTGCCACATGCCCTGAGCCTGGTGGTATCAGAGTCTACTCCAGGTCACTAATTGCTTTTTGGTTTTTCCAGACAGGGTTTCTCTGTATTGCTTTGGAGCCTGTCCTGGCACTTGCTCTGTGGACTGGGCTGCCCTCGACCTCACAGAGCCCCCCCTGCCTCTGCCTCCTGAGTGCTGGGATTAAAGGCATGAGCCATCACCACCACCCTGTTGCTAATTGGAGTTGTTTTTTTGTTTTGCTTTGTTTTTCAAGATTTTATTTATTACTTATACAGTGTTCTGCCTGCATGTATACTTGCACACCATTGCAGATGGTTATGAGCCACCATGTGGTTGCTGGGAATTGAACTCAGGACCTGTGGAAGAGCAGCCAGTACTTTTAATCTCTGAGCCATCTCTCCAGCCCTAATTGGAGTTTTTAATTGCACGGATGAATTGTGAATGACAACGTGTTGACAGATAAGAGTTTAGAAAAATTAGAGAAGTATAATTAAGAAATAAATGATTTCTGTGGTGGTTGTTGGTGCATGCCTCTAATCCTAACCTGGGAGTTTGAGGGCAACCTGGGTTATATAGACCCTATATTTAATTAAATATAGACCCTATATTTAAGAACTTTGTGGGAGCCGGGCAGTGGTGATGTGCACCTTTAATCCCAGTGCTCTGGGAGGCAGAGGCAGTCAGATCTCTGTGAGTTTGAGGACTGCCTGGTCTACAAAGCCAGTCCCAGGATGGGCTCCAAAGCCACACAGAGAAACCCTGTCTGGAAAACCCAAATTATACTGTGATTTCCAGGCTAAAATGAAATCAAATGGCTATGCAGGAACATGCACAGCTGCTTCCTTTGCCTTTCACCCTCCCACTCAGTGTGCTGAGCACTGTGTTCTTTCCTACCTACTCTTGGGCATGCCCTTCCATCAGTGCTCTAGCCTGCAAACCTGATTGTCCCAGATTGCTTCCTATGCTGTGACCATGACACAAAACCACTTGCAGAGGAAAGGTTCTGATTACATTCAGTTATTGGGGGAAGACAAGGCAGGAACCCAGAGGCAGGAACTGTAGCAGAGAGCATGGAGGAGCACTGCTTACTGGCTTGCTTCCCAGGTTTACATTCAGCTGTCTTATACAACACAAGACCACATACCCAGGGGGAAGGGAGCCCTGCACACAATGGCCCTCCCACACCAATCACAAGTAAGAAAATACTCCTCAGGCTTGCCTACAGGCCAACATGATAGAGGCATTTTCTCAATTGAAGTTTCCTCTTCCCAGGTGACTCTGGCTTGTTTCAGTTGACAAAACAAACTAGCCAGCATATTGATTGATTTCCTTCTTGTCTCTGTGTCATTTCTTTGTCTGTTTTCTTTTGCTCAGTGCTGCTGCCCTGCTGGTGGGAGAGAAGGTTCAAGAGGAGACTACTCTGGTGGTGAGTGTTGTCTCCTCTCTGGGGCTGTTCTTCTGTGAGTGTGTCTCTAATGTATAACCATGCTGCCAGGGAGATGGCTAGTCAGAGTGCTTCCTGTGCAAGCACAAGGGTCCAAGTTTGGATTCCTGGCACCCACATGAAAAACTGAGAATGGTGACACATCCCTATAATCTGAGCACTGGGGAGGCAGATTAGGACGATGTGCTGAATAAGAAAGCTAAGATACCCTCTCTCAAAGTATAAGTTGGGGGAATGGCTTTGTGGGTAAAGTGCTGAAGTTCTTGCTGCACAAGTTTGGGGACCTGAGTCAGGCCCCTAGTACCCAGCACAAAAGCTATACATGATGGCATCCATCTGTAACCCTAGCAAGGTTTGGAGTAGAGACAGTTGGAGCCCTGGAGCTGACTGGCCAGTGAGTCTACCCAAATCAGTAAGTTCTCTGTCTGAGATATTTAAGGTGGAAAGTGATTGAGGCAGATGCCTGACTTTGGGCTCTTGCCTCCACAACCACACATGCATACACACAAACATGTATATACACTGTCCACACACAAAACTAACAAACATGGTCACATACAAAGTAAGAAAAGCTGGGTGGTGATGGCATATGCCTTTAATCTCAGCACTTGGGAGTCAGAGTGAGAGACCAGCCTGGTCTACAAGACCTAGTTCCAGGACAGCCTCCAAAGCCACAGAGAAACCCTGTCTAACAAAAAACAAAACAAAACAAAACCCCCCAAAAAACAACAACAACAAAAAATAAGGTGGAGAATGATTGAGGACACACCTACAACGTTGACCTCTGACCTTCACGGGTATGCATACATATGTGTACGTGCACCTGTACACTCACAGATGATCACAATAACTCTGATGCTACTATTCTAGATGCTTCCTCTAAGCAGTGTGCTTTCCGCAGGATGACCCTTTCCAAATGACGACAGGTGGCATGGTGGACATGAAGAAGCTGAAGGAGAGGGGCAAAGATAAGTAAGTGGAGGGTACTGGGCACAAACACACTGTTGCTGGGCCTTAGCTGGCAGGAAGAGCCGGGGATGAAGCTGCCTGGACACCCTGTAGAGCTTGCAAGTTCCATGCTGTGCCAGGGGTTATGCTAATTAGAAACCCCAGTGGGGGGCTCGGAGCCAAGAGAGAAGGATCCATTTGTAAAGGACCTTGTTCATTATTTCAAACATGGGGAAGCTTTGTATGAAAACCTAGTTACAAAAATTATACCAGAGTCCAGCTCCAGCAGGGTTCTAAGCCACAGGACAGAGGTGTAAAGTTGGCCAAAAATAAGAGTATGACCACCAGTTGTCTTTCAATAGACGGCCCTGAATAGTTCAAGCCGTTTTTATTTATACAAGTTCTAATGCATTCAAGCATGAGCAATATCAATACATTTCTCTTTAATCTTTTCCCAGAATCATAAACATTTACCCATTTTAGTTTCTTTTCCTCTTCCCCACTCCCTTGATGTCCTTGACCTTTACCTCCTATCATTAATTTTTATATTGCAAGCCAAATGATTTTATCTAGCCAGGCACATCTTATTCATACTGCGCCCTAACCAGCAGCAAACATGCAGTTATAAAAAAGGAAATTTCAGGTGGATTAATCCCAGCACTCGGGAGGCAGAGGCAAGTGGAGCTTTATGAGTTCCAGGACAGGCTCCAAAGCTACAGAAAAACCCTGTCTTGAAAAACAAACAAACAAAAAACAAAAAAGGAGATTTAAGCCCTATGATCAGCCCTTAGCAATGTGATACTTTTATATTTTTGTAATCAGCTGAGTATATGATGCCATACCTAGGATATTGTTTTCAAGTGTATGTCAATTCCTAGATAATATGTATATCACTTTTACGTGGACAACAGTTGTAATCCTGTTCTTTACAAATTCTCAAAATGATAATGACTACCTAATTCTTTAACTGTTGGGACCAAGTTTATATTCTTCCTTGCAGTTTCTACGTGTACTTTCACAGGAAACTGGGAGTTTTAACTGAAAAAATATCTAACCATTCATGTCCTGGCAACAGAGTGGTGTCTGACCTTTCATGTCCTTTATCTTTTGCTTATTTATTCCTATAAGTTTTAATGTCATCTTAAATTCTTTGGAATATAGTTCTCTTTTGTAGGATAGTTATGTAAGCAAGAATCATTAACCTTAATGAGTTCCTCCTACTTAGAATGACTGCAAAAGCAGCCAGGGGCAACAGGAGGAACTGGTTTCTGTGAATGGCTGCGGAGAGACTTAATTTTTAATTTCCTTGTGGAGACTTAGAAAAATTATCAGCTTTTGTTCCTAGTAAACTCAGCAACAATCACAACTGACAAAGCAAAACTTAAGAATTACCATGGCAAAAGTTAGAGAGGCCTGAAGCCCATGAGTTCTCTAGGATCAACCCATGGGTCTGTAAGCATTGCTTCCACAGGTCCTTGCCAAGGGGATGGGATTCTCCAAAGGGCCATGTCATAAGAGGCTCCATTTGCAAAATATTTATACACCATTCCTAGGGGTGACAGCATGGCTTCCACCAAAAAATAATGCACTGAAAACCCCAGCACTTAGGAAACAGAAGCAGGAAGATTAGGAGTTCAGGGCCAGCCTAGGCTGCATGAGACCCTCTCTGAGGGAAAAAAAAAAGAAGAAGAAGGAAAAAAAGTAGATGTATTTAAGGAACTAGGGAGATGGCATAGTAAGTAAAGTGGAGGGCCTGATTTGAGATCCCTGACACATATAAAATCCAAGTGTGGCAGCAGAGCTCTGGGCTAGTAAGAGCCCATGTCAAAGGACAAAGTGGAGGAGCCATAAAGGGAGCACACCCTAACACAATCCTTGACCTCCACATTGCATGCAGGGTCACACATGCATACACAGAAATCACCTAGTATAAATTAAAAAGAAAAAGCAAAAGAAAGCATGCACTCATTTCCCAAAGTCCAAAAGCTGCTGTTGCCTGTTTGCTTGCATATATGTCTGGGGTTTTCTCTTTATAAATTATAGCATGTCATATGTTTTCATGTATTTTCTTTTGTATCTGAGCTGTTTGGTGTAACTTGGCCTCAGTGACTGTAACCTTATCCCTACTTGCAGGGTCAGTGAAGAGGAGGACCTGCACCTGGGGACATCCTTTTCTGCAGAAACTAACCGGAGAGATGAGGATGCAGACATGTAGGTACCAGTGTGTCTCAATGTCTGTAAGCACTGGAATTGGACCCCAGCCAGACTGTCAGAAATGTCTAGTCACAGTTAGCACGTCTAGTGTTTTCTTAGCTGTGCTCTCCCAACTTCTCAGGCTTGAGATCTCTGAAAGCCTCTTAAAAGCCCTTTCAAAAGGGTGGGCCTTTACCTTTATATTTCCGTCCTTCCCTCCTCCCACTCTTTGTCTTTACTTCTCTGGTGGGACAGATGCCAGCTACAGTACATCCTCTGCCCTTGAAGTTTTTGACTAGTGATGCTTCCTCAAAACACAAGGACTAGCCCATTCCATGTGGAGGGATGCTCTTTCAGCCTGGACACATGGGGGAGGGCCTAGGCCCTGCCCAGGATGGTATGACAGACTTTGGAGATCCCCCGTGGAGGGCCTCACCCTCCCTGGGGAGCAGAGGGTGGATGGGGTGGGGGACTGCTGGGGAATAGGGGAGGAGGGGAGGGAGAGGGAGAAGGGATTGACATGTGAAACAGGCTTGTTCCTAATTTGAACTAATAAAAAATAATTAAAAAAAAAAAAAAACCCACAAGACTATCATGGACTTACCACTTCTTTTCCACCAAGCTTTAAAGCATGGTTCTATAGAGTATCACTCCCTTCAGTCCTACACACTCAGGAATTCCCTCTCACTTTTCCTTTATCTTGATAAACCCTAGTTCACTCTGCTAGGTTGTCAAAACCCACAAGACTATCATGGACTTAGCACTTCTTTTCCACCAAGTTTTAAAGCATGGTTCTATAGAGTATCACTCCTTGAGTCCTACACACTCAGGAATTCCTTCTCACTTTTCCTTTATCTTGATAAACCCTAGTTCACTCTGCTAGGTTGTTGTAGGGATGGAGAAAACAGAAACATAATGCCACCTTCTGTCTTCAAAGAGCACTGGATATGTTCACATCCAGAGATCAGTTGTTGTGGTCTCTAGTACACATTGATGTTTTAAGTTGAAATTTTAAAAACTCAAGTGAACTCAAGTCAGGTATGGTGGTGCACACCTGTAATTCTAACACCAAGGAGGCTGAGGCAGGAGGATCTCAAATTTGAGACCATCTAGGTCACATGTGTGAGACTGTCAAAAACAAACTCCAGGTATTTTTATTTTTCTTACTTTCTCCATGAACTGATAATTTCCTCATTGGAGACAGGTGTGTGGACACATGAATTTAATCCTGACACTTGAGAAATAGATGCAAGCAGATCTCTGAGTTCAAGGTCAGCGTGGTCTATATAAATAAAGAGTTCGAGGCTAGCTAGGGCTTCATAATGAGAACTGCCTTCAAAAAATTTTTCCTCATATTGATAGGTGACATGGCTCAATGAGTAAAGACATCTGTCACCAGCCTTATGACTGTGTTCAGTCTCCAGAACCCACATAGTGGGAGGAGAGAATCAACTCCTACAAGTTGTCCTCCGACTTCCATGTGTTGTGGTATACATGCTCTCACACATAGATATATACATAAAATAAAATAAAAAAAGTTCATCTTTAAAAAAATGCTAACAAGTAGGTACCTGTTGTGGCTTTCTGGCCCCCTGATCCTGTGGTCCCTTCTCAGGATGAAATACATTGAGACAGAGCTGAAGAAGAGGAAGGGGATTGTGGAGCAAGAGGAACAGAAGGCCAAGCCTAAGAATGCTGAGGACTGCCTCTATGAGCTACCAGAGAACATCCGTGTCTCCTCTGCTAAGAAGACGGAGGAGATGCTGTCCAACCAGATGCTGAGCGGCATCCCCGAGGTGGACCTGGGTATAGAGTATGTCTCCCAACCTTGGCTGTGCCCTGTACTTGGGAAGAGCCACCAACTTTCCAGTTAGCAGTTACACAGACACGCCACAGAGCACTTGCCTAGCATTCCTAAGAGTTGGGGAAGCTGGGAAGATGGCTCAGCTAGTAAAGTGCTTGTCTTGTAAGCATGAGGACTTCAATTTCATCCCCAGAACCCATGCCAGAAAAGCCAGCTATAGTGGGGCACACTGAGCAGGTAGAGATCGGAGAGCTGTTGGGACTCATTGCCCAGCCAGCTTAGCCTACCTACTGAGTTCCTGCTGGTGAGAGACCATGCTTCAAACGAGACATGAGCCTCCTAATGGCCTGTATCTGAGGTTGTCCTCTGGCCTTCCCACACACGCTTACACGTATACGCACATGCATGTACACACACTCATACAGACTCACACATGCTCACAAAAGTTATGAAGATCCTTCAGTCTCCTTGGGAATTTACACACAAGTTCTCTGAGGCAAATTGTCTCCAGGGGTTTCTTCTTACACCTTGTGCCAGTGACTGAAGAGACTTAGGGGCAAAAGTGTCTCTTTATCCACTCCTTTCTGGGTTTTTCGTCAAGAGCTGTGTAAAAGGCTGATCCACACGTCCTCCTTGAGCCTACTTTCACCTGCAGGGAAACAAAGACAGTGGTCAGCAGCTTCGTTGTGTAGAGTGAAATGCTAGGAGGTTTGTATCTCTTTCTGGCCTAGAAGGCTTTGAAACTTAGGCAGCTCACTCCATTTTCATGGGCAGGATATCTTGTGTTTGCGCACATACGCATTTCTGGGAATTTGAACCAGGACCTCACACATGCTAGGTAAGTGCTCTGCCACTCACCTGCAAGCACAGCTTAAGATTTCCTTTTTGATTTTTCGTTTGTTTGAGACAGGGTTTCTCTGTGTGTCCCTGACTGTCCTGGAACTCACTGTAGACCAGGCTGGCCTTGAACTCAACAGATCTTTCTGCCTCTGCCTCCAAGTGCTATGGTTAAGGGTGTATGCTACCACTGCCAGACACCAAGATTTCCTCTTTATCAAAGAGAGAAAATATGAGTTCTCTGGTGGCTCTGAGTTTTCCATACCAATGTGATCACAGGGTCAGGCCAGGTAGGGTGGCTGGCGCACGCTGGTATCTGAACCCTGGGGAGATTGAGGCAAGGGGAAATGGACCTTGAGTTCCAGGCCAACTGGGGCTTCATAGAAATCTTGTCTTAAAAACAAAAAGGAACCATGTGATAGTGGTGCACATCTTTAATCCCAGCACTTAAGAGGCAGAGGCAGGTGGATCTCTGTGAGTTCCAGGCTAGCCTGGTCTACAGAGTGAGTTCCAGGACAGCCAGGGCTACACAGGGTTACCCTGTCTTGAAAAACAAAAACAAAAAGGAAAGAAGGAAAGGCACGAAGTGTCCTGGTACACTGTAGAAGCTTCTGGTGCAGCAGGAGTGGCCAGCGTCCCCAGTCAGTTCCAAAGGTGTGACGGCCTCGTATGAGGGTTGGCTCTTTATCTTTCCATAGTGCGAAAATAAAAAATATCATTTCCACGGAGGATGCCAAGGCCCGGCTGCTGGCAGAGCAGCAAAACAAGAAGAAGGATAGTGAGACATCATTTGTGCCCACCAACATGGCCGTGAACTATGTACAGCACAACCGCTGTGAGTGCACTGCCTGCCCCCAGGCCCCACGAGTCTCCTACGAGCCCCACCTCCTGCCTCACAGTTCTTTGTTCTTTCTCTATTCAGTTTATCACGAGGAGCTCAATGCACCCATCCGAAGAAACAAAGAAGAGCCCAAAGCCCGGCCCTTACGAGTGGGTGACACGGAGAAGCCAGAGCCTGAACGTGAGTACAGCCCTGGGTGGCACTTAAGTGGCCTGTGAAGACAGAGTCATGCTGGGCAGGGCACTGCTCAAGCCCTAGGGGACCAAGGCATCTGACCCAGACCCCTGCTAAGGACCATGGCCACATGCCTTCCCCTTTCCAAGCTGTGGTTCCTTCTTGGTAAAGTGATGTATAGAGGTAGCCCATTGGATGCTCTGGGGCCCTCAAGCTGTCCAGCTAGTAGAGACTGAGTTTAAAAGTTTCAGTAAGGGAAAAGCAAAAATATCAGTAAATAAGAGCCATGTAGCAAGGCCTCAGTGCTGGGGCTTCTGTTGTGGATGACTCCAGCCAGGCTCTCACCTTGGAACAGTAGTTTCTGCTGGTTCCACCGTTAACAGGCAGCCTCTGTTCTCCTCAGGGTCTCCTCCCAACCGCAAGCGTCCTGCCAATGAGAAGGCCACAGATGACTACCACTACGAGAAGTTCAAGAAGATGAACAGGCGCTACTGAGACAGTGGTAGGGGCTGGATAACAAAACCAATGAGAAGTTTAAGAAGATGAGTGGATAGCACATATGCACACATGCTCACATGCTCACACATTTCCTGGTGCAAACAGTGCCCTACATAGAACCTGCTTGTTAGCTAATGGGTTCCCCATCAGATGGTACTTTTGCTTACCTGCTAGATTTCTATTCTGGGTTTTGGTTGGAGACTGTGCCTCCCTGTGTATTCCTTAAACGCTCTCTTCCTTCTGGGATTTTAGAGGCCCCACCACACCTGACTGGCAATTTCAAGCACTAACTTTGTAACTTTCAAAACAAGACAATGTATCTATGTCTTTATTGTTTCCTACCTGGGACAAACTAGACCTACTATTCTCAAGAGTGTTATTAAATTGCTTTAAGATTTATTTATGTATGTGGGTGTTTAGTCTTTATGTATATCTATGTACCATGTGTGTGCTTACAGTGCCTGTAGAGGCCAAAGGAGGATGTTAATTATTTTAGAACTGTAGTTACCCATAGTTGTGAACTACCATGTCCATGCTAGGAATCTAACCTCTGGAAGAGCAGCAGCCTGTGCTCTTAACTGCTGAGCCACCTCTCCAGTCTGTTTAAATTGTGTTTTGGGATTGTATACACAGCCATGGTTTCTTTCAGCATTTGAAATAGGGTTGAAAAATAAATCTGAGGGCTGGAGAGATGGCTCAGAGGTTAAGAGCAATCAATGACTCTCTTCCAGAGGTCCTTAGTTCAATTCCCAGCAACCACATGGTGGCTCACAACCATCCGTTATGAGATCTGGTGCCCTCTTCTGGTGTGCAGATATACATGGAAGCAGAATGTTGTATACATAATAAATAAATAAAATCTTT